GCTGACTCAAGCCACTTGCCCTGGATAGATTTCAAATCTGCTTGCGCCCTGTCACGTAGCAACCTGTTTCATGCTGACGGTCTGATTTCATCAGCTTCCGGCGTGACTCAGCCCTGATACCGCCGGTCGGGTAGAAACTCGTGTTCCGATGATAAGTATCTCTGAGCCGTGTCACATTCTTATGCTGTCGCCTCCGATTATTATTATTAATTATGATAACCGATATAAACTCCACAATGTTCATCATCATTGCAGACTACGATGGTAAAAATTCTGGAGCTGTTTCAAATCCACTGCCTATTGAAGAGAACATATTAGCTTCCGAAACACACGAAAAAATTTCAATAATCACCAGGTATAACCCTGCAATGGCCAGATGGTTCCACTTCTCGTCATCGTAGCGGGCCCCAATGACAGCAAGAAACTGTACCGAGGATTTGCACAATGAAAGAGAAATCGCGCTCCAAAGTATGATCACGTGCCGGGGAATCTATCGAGGTAATCGTTTCCCTTGGTTACTGTAGAAAAACAAGCTGATGATGCCAGCACAAATCGTACCGCGTACTAATGCAGAACCCATCACAAGCGAGGTGTCATGGGTTGCGAATAGTGATGCATTGAGTTGTGCTGGGTGCTTCTTCTTGCATCTCCAGAGCCACTCCTACCAGATTGGTCAGTGGATAGAGGCCAGAAACACTATTTCCTGGACCTCCAGGTTGGAATGAGAATAAGGTTGGATCATTATTCCTTAAAACAGACTTTCTGTAGCCGCTTTCTCAAGTTCCCCCTGTTTGACCGTCAGGAATTAAAACCAAACATTTGGGTTGAGAACATTAAGTGTTTATTTTTCAACGCCTGGTCAGCCTAACGGTATCCTGCCCAGGCAATAAAACAATTCCTTCTAGAGACAATTACTTGCTCCTCTGGCCGCCGCACAGGATAATCAACGGGACCCCATCTGCTACATAGAGCGGAGTGTCTAGAGGTGATGATGGTATTGTTGACGCCCGTGAAAACCATATTAATAAACTGTAAGCTTGCTCTCACCGAAATCAAGGGTTCATCGATCACATCTCCAGTTTGCGCCAGTTAGTAGAGCACCGCAACTCAGATTGATGAACCACCCTAGTCGTGTCACTAGACATCAAAGATGAGTTTGATTAGGTGAAGCAATGTGTTCTTTGAAGCTATATGGTTCGAAAAGGTGTGAAGAAATAAGTAAACACCATCAGAGCGCTTTATGCATGTAGTTCGGGCAGATCGGGGACTTGTGGCCAATTGTCCCAGCTCTTTAATATTTCCAACGGTGTGAGATACTAATGCCCGACATCAGCTTTCTTCGTCAAGTTCGCTATTGACGAATTCAAGGAAAGTAGGCTCACCGAACAAGAAATCAGGTATGGAGCTGGTTCTAGGTGACACGCTCGGAGTATGACGACGAAACTTCCAAAAATTTTGGCAGTTCACAAAAGTACCAAGCAGTACTGTACAGATAGACACCGATTATTAGTCGTTTTGAGCTTGGCTTCGCACACTTCAAATACAAAGCGTTTGCTCAAGATTTCTAGGGTCCACTAAATACACAGAATCTTGGTGGAGAGAAACTAGAAGTTGTTAGGAAATTCAACTACCTGAGCAGTTGTGTCAGCACCTGTGGAATAAAAATTTGAGTGACGAACCTTACAGGAAGAACATGTGGATTATCTAATGTTCGCCACCTGTGATGCCGGCTTGCGACTCACGTCCTGAAGAGTATCGTACACGATGAAGCCATCCGTTCAACCTTACTACAAGGTTGCGACACGTGGCTCATCAGCTCGACAGTCACGAAGAGGCTATTTCGACCACTAGTGCATTCACAGCTCAGCTAACATCCGGTGAGAATATTGTGAAAGTGAATTTAAAAAAGGATTTCACCTTCATAATTCCAAACAGAAAGATCAGAAGAGATAACTGTGATGTGCGCAACCATTTCATGCAAGCTCTTTAATCGAGAAAATACAGAAAGCATAGATATACAAAACGCGGTCATCTGAGATCAATTGTTAGCCAATCGTCACGTCACACACTACCACGGTAGGTTAAGATTCCCAGTCAACAGTTTTTGCACACAAAACAGCGGCCGCTTTCGATGGATGACGATGGCTTCCGATAGCCTGAGAATGGGGCGCCGCTGGTTGCGCATCAGGATGGTGTATGACTCATTGGGGTTAACTGGGTGGCCGGTGCTCAGTAAGTGTCAGGTGACTGCCGATGCAGCTCGATTTCTCAATTCGCCTGATTACGACGTCGCCGAACCCATCCGGCAGCGAAAACACTGAGGAACGTACTCACTGATCCTGAGGACTAAACTTCGGTTAGCGCACCCGATATAGCTGTATCCGCAGTTACAAGTGAATCTGAATAAGCAATGAGACATGCACTGCCTCGTTATCGGTGTCTTGATGGAAAACATAATTAAAAAATAAACAGAAATCATCATCTGTAAGCCGAAACGGTGCTTCACTGTCGCACGACCATCCCCAGTCCCGAGTGGGCTGCGCATACCGCTACGACGCCCACCCCTACGCAGATTCGGACCGGTGACCTTATGATTGCAAGCCAGGCGTGCAGACCACTAGGCCACCGGCCGACGTTATGCTGGCGTGAGCGACCGTAGTTCAGCTGCAAGCCCATTTCACTGAAGCATTAATACGCCTCGCGGTTACTTTCATAATATGATCACAACTGAATGACAGTTCGATGAAGATCGGCGATGAGTATCATAATATGATCACCTTTGGATGGCAGTTCGATGAAGATCGGCTTCTTCTGAAATGATCATGTTCAGCGTCTTGTTTATGGCGTACAAGGAAGTAAAGTTCTCAGCGCCATTATTTTATGCACTACGCTCCAATGGCTGGGTCATGTGGTACGCATACTAGCTCACAGACTTCCGAAAGGTGCGTTGGTTATGCCTCGGTTGGTGTCGTCCAACTGTTGTGCTGCGAACCCAAGGACGATGAACACGTTCCGCTGGATACAATTGTTGACAGTGAATAACTGACCTCAGTGGTGTCGTGAGTGTAGTTATCTGGCCCCATCCTGCTTTGCTTATCCCTGTAGCCCAAATGTTAGTTAATTGGCACAAAATAAGCGTTCGTTCCGTTTTGCTTTTGTTGTTCGTTACCATGCTTTTCTACTACTAGCTTAGTGGCTTGTAATGCGGCACAACGGCTGTAGTGTTTCCTAGCTCTAGCTAAGGTGCATAATGATGAAGAGGAGGACGCCAAAACTCACAGCAAACTGGCCAGAAAGTCGAAACTGTCTTCGAGTTGTAATTGCGGATAGGAAGAATTAAAATATGCGCATGTGACTACAAACAGCCATGTGCATGTATCGCAACAGCTAGATCCTTCTACCCGTTCCCTCTGGTATTTCTGTGGTACAAGAACACTGTCCTTATCGCTCGCACCCATAAAAGCATTAATCTTGGTTTCCACTTACCCATATAAACAAACATGCCTTAATCTGCGAATGGCAATGGTGGCGATGTGGATTTCATCTCCTGTCTAGTCACATTTCCAATAGATCCACGGACGAAACGGACGTGTAGCGCTTCCCTGGAGGTGGGGTGACTGTCTGGCTGAATCTGTCTGCGACGAACATCCTCAAAAATAATGCCAATGTATCAAAAAGGGCCAACGGCATACGGTGCACTTCGACAACAATCATGGGGTACTACAAGCGATGCACTGCCCAGCACATATGCCTACCGTCGTGTTATCCATAGTTGAATGAATAGGCAGAGAACTTTGTGGACACGTTTAAACGAGCTCAATTCAAATCGAAAGGGAGACGGCCTAAAGATAAACGACAGATCCCTTTCCCTGTATCGGTCTACACCAAACACATAAGCACTGAATGCAGTGTCCTCTGGAGAAGCACTAATGAACACGAGAGGCTCTGCAAGATGTTAGATGCCCTTCAATCGGCCTGAACCCACATACGGTGAAAGAAACCAAAAATGAACAATAAGTAAATCGGTGTCACGGATTAAAGCAGCGCTCATTCAAGCTAGGAGTCAGTACTCGCACACGACGTCCAGAGTACGCCGTTAGATCGTACTAGCGTTTTGCTGCCATGCGGACACCAACGGCGTGCGGGGCCTAGAAGTGCCGCGACGTAAACCATATCCAAGTAGACTCGAAATTGGACTACAAAGCAGAATCCATATCCATTCGGCCAACGCCTGAATCTCACACGTGACTACCGGAAAATCCACGTGAATTGAACTCCAGGTAAAATCACAAGCGAACGCGAGGATGTCATTTATGATGTGCTCATTGGATCGCAAACCTGGATCCGGCATGAAAATCGACTGCGCCAAACGCCATATAAGCAAGAAAGAAAGGCAGCTAAAATATATTTTGACACATTTGTGGATTGGAGATAAACACGAAGAACCTGGGTCAAACGAACGATGTAGCCGACAGTCCAGAGCCCCCTCCAGAAACAATAAAACCCAAGCGATGGATAGGCAGAAGAAAGACGCTGTCTTCGAGACCGCATATCTACATAAGGCTACCATCCTAAACCGCAGCCACGATAAGAAACAGAGAAGGATTTGAGTCGATGGTGTACAGTCTAAGCACCAAGCTGGTCCGCCACGTGAATTGTGCACCTCCTTCCTCATCCGTGAGACAAACTTAACCGCCAATCAAGACAACTGACCTAACTGCTGGGAAACAGAAAGATTTATGGGTTGAGCCATAGGTAACTTCTAATTTTGGACCCTTGGACCCGCTTCGACGTTTACTTCTGACCTTGGCATGGATTTGAATTTTTAGCGGCGAGAACAATTCAATCGGAATCGCCAAATAAGGGGGAGATCTGCCAGATGGTAATGTGAGAAGCCGCATGCTTTTGCCGAGAGTGAGACAGGATAGCCCAACAACCTGTTACGAGGAATCGTTAGTAAAATTATTTGGGACGAACTTAGCATACATAGGCTGACTCACATGAAGCAATGTTTCCTTGGCCTGTTGGTTCACATATGATTGTTCCGTGACCAGTTGATCAGAGCTACAGTCGTTGAGATTCTTAGAATGACCGAGAAGCGGTAGAAGTTTACTGATATCATCCTCTTTTACAGCCGCTTCAGCAAGCTGAATTGGCGCAAGAAAGTGTGAGAATGTGTCCGATAGGCTGCGACAAGCCATGGGTGAAGATTCTGCTTTTACAAACTGTACAGATTCCTGCTGACAGAGAAAGATGAAATACATCACACATTGGTTCAAGTTCAATATCAAGATGACATTTATGAATAAAAATTCGCCCAGTAGAGAAGAAATTCAGTTGGCAATTAGGTGGAAAATGACCGATCATCAGGGTCTCGTTGTAAATGCGCCGATTGCATGCACCGTAGACTCACATCGCAAGAAAGAAGAAGAAAGGTATCAGCAGTACGCTGGTACACCGCAATCAAGCTTCACTACCACCCAACCACCACCAGTCGAGCGTGGGCTGAGGATACTGCGAGAGTCACCCCTACACAAGCTCGTACCCGCGACCCCAGATTACAAAGCAGGCTTGTGATGGCTAGCGCCACGGGCCAAGTTGTGGTTATAAAGCGAACGCTTTATCTTTCCGGCCGACGCCGGACCCCATCCCAAAGCAGGTATGGAAAAAGGAGAAGGTTTTGTGGGTACATCATCGAATGCAATGTAAAATGGCATAAAGAAAATAGTGCACAAAGTTCTCTGCTTTGCCTAACGGAAAAACGGCGTTACAATTAAGGGATAAATTAGAGGTGAGAATATAAACCAAAAACAGCGAGTAGCGCTCTGTTGCTTTTGTTCCTGCATAGCAACACTATGCGATATTATGCGTCAAAAGCTAGAGACAGCTGAAAACAGTATCCTTAAAATAGGATAAAAATAGATGCATTCGCGTCAAAGTAACTCGACCAAAATCGGCCGGAATGATGCAACAAGTGTAGCTGCAAGGTAATGACGTTCAACCTCAGATTAACAAGACGTTAGTTCAGAGGAAATTTCTGGGGAGCAAGAGTGTAAACGGTTTGCTCTGCTGTAGATCGGCATTGTTGCACTGGTGATTTCGCTATGACCTTCAAGACTGAAAGGTTGACAGAAAATACGGACTATTTTCACCCGTCAAGGGCCACTTTAAAACTCGTCCAACTGCAGTGGAGTTGTCACAGCTAGTTGGCATTTAACAGTGATGTCTAGCAGCGTCATGTCCACACCTCCTCTGAGTCGTGTGCAAGATAGAGAAATGTAGTCCGTCTGATTAGGATGATGACTGGCTATAATGGGGCTCGTGCTGCGTATGAGACAGAGGGTATCCGTGACGCAGTGATCGGTAGTGTCAGTGACTCAAAATTCAGCAGACGTGCAGATGGCGCGTGAAATACCATCCAGCTTTCGGTGCAAAACCGGGGCTGTGACGAATCTAATTCGAAATTTAACCCAAACCCCACCCTTCAGCAACCGCTGGAAACCAGTGGTCGACCAAGCTGGCTTATAATGTCGTCGGACGATGGCAGGTTAGTAAATGAAGTTGTGGATTAGTAAGCCAATCCTGTTCCCCAGACGCGTCTGACAAATGAGGGCGAGCATGCGCGTTATGTCCTAGTTCAGTTCAGCTGAACGATCATGATCAGAGCACAGAAATGCGGCAGATCCAATTATCACGACTGGCCGGTGGTCAAAAGTTACCGGTTACACAGTGAGTAAGAGAGGGTGGTCTAGAAGTAATTCCAGCCATTGCATGGGAGCAAAGCATCTGTGTGACGCTCCAACGTATTGTGGATAACTTTTCGAGCTATGTTAACCGCATACGTAATGTTTGTCAGTAGGTCACCTGGCAGAACTTCCACGCCGTAATAGTAAGAGAGTACGGAGTCACTTATGATCAATTCGCTTACGGAAGCGAGTACAAGAAACATATGGAGAACATTTTTATTACGGCAGTTAGAAGACAGCTTTCCGTAAACTCTCAGTTGACAATGGGAGTCACGGAAGACTTGAAAACGGAAAAGGGTTTAGCGGACAAGCATTTAACGGAGAGGCAATGTCACAATCTGGTTCGATCAAAGGTCGAAAACAGCTTCAAGTCAAGGAAAAGCACCAGTCAGTTGTCTGTGTCTCTACTCTAACAGCTGCCGAATATGTGGTTGATGCAACCAAGAATAAGGTGGAAGCCAGCTACGTTTTCGATAATTAAGCTCTTATGAGGACCAGTAAGCAGTCGAAGAAAGATACACGTGAGAAGTTTGGAGGTAAGACAAATGAAACTAATGTCTCGTTGATTTTCGCACAGTCTGCATACCCATCCAGAAGAAGGGCACGACAATTAACAGTCGCCACTCTGAAGGCACCTCTTCAGTGTCACAAATAGCGTTGAACAGAGCAACAAGTTCAGTCAATAAAGTCTTCTCTATCTCTGAGGAAAGATGGAGGAATGTCGTCGGGTCCAAAAGCCTTGTTTCGTTTCCACATGGAAAGACATAAGCACATCCAGTGAGATAGGTGGGACATCAGGTGCCAACGTGGAGTCAGATGATTGCCCAAGTGGCAGGGTTCCAGCACACCAGCTGAACTGCTCTTGGAAATATTGTGTCCAACGGGCAAATCGATGCGGCTAAAAATTGGTAAACTGGCCATCTTTAAAAGCTATTGTCTCACGAGGTTTTCTCGGACCCGAGTTCCGGTAAAGATGGAACAGTACTAGTCTGAAAAGAATATAAGTGATTTTCTCTCTCACGGGCCTTGCCACAAACCAACGTTCCCGGTTAATTCAAACACTCCTTGTCAGTTGTCGTTCCAGGTAATGAAGGGCACGTGAACTAATCAAATAGACCGATGCCTCAGAGGTCCATTCGCATTTAGGACGTCCCAAGTTAGGCATAAGGCGTGTCAACAGCCTACTTGTTATCGCAAGCACAGTGAAAGAGATAAATAGGTAAAAGTGGGCATTTCGTATACGAGGCCGCAACGTGGTAGTTTCCAGGTGTCCGACAAACATGTGAACAACGAGACCATGTTTCCCGCCAGCGTTTGAATTCCATATTCTATCAACAAATGGGTCTTTGTTTGTAAATAGTAGGGAGATTTATTACGATTTTGTGTAGGTTCGTCGCATTTAGACACAGGCAGACGGCCACCATATATCTAGGAAAACGCTAGATGGCCGTTTCGTCCTATTGGGACTAGTTAGCAGTGTGCACCCGCTGAATCCTGCCGGATTCGAACCCAGGACCTTACTCTTGCGAGTCAGCGACTTATGTCACCGAGCCATGGGCGACGGCAGCGGACCGCCATGACTGATATCTAACTGCGATATAGCGCGGCTCATCCTCCAATGTCTTGCAAATTATGAATGCGCAGAAGACTGGGCTGGCTTCTAGAGCAACGACTTCGTTTGCAAGCCGCCACCAATCGAGGTTGCATGCAAGCTGCTAAGGCGACTACTGTTCGTAACGATGGAATACGTGTGCGAGGTGACCCGGCAACTACCGATATACGCTAACTTTCCGGAGGATTTGCTAAAGGAGATACTATTTCGCTGCACGTTAAATGTTCAATTCACGTTCAATGGTGAGATGTACCGTCAGACTGATGGAATGGCCATGGGATCTCCTTTGGGGTCGTTGTTGGCTGACATCTATATGGCGAAATTAGAACATGGCCCACTCAGGACGCACATCTGTGGAACGAAAATGTACGTACGGTATGTGGATGACACCTTCGTGCTTTGTGAATCCGAAAAGCATGCTGAACAGTTGCTGAAGGCCTTTAATGACGCACATGAGAATCTAGGCTTCACCTGTGAGCAAGAAAATGAAAAGCGTTTACCTTTCTTGGATGTAGAAGTCATCCGCAAGGCGGGCGGCTCATGTAGCAGAAAGGTACACAGAAAGCATAAGTGGACTGGACAATACACAAACTTTCACAGCGCAGTGCTTTTACAGCACTAGAGTTTAATCCGATCTCTTGCCCTCAGAGCCCGCAGGATTTGCACTCAGGATACCGCCAAAGAAGAGCTACAGAGAATCAGCGATGCCCTTCGTGAAAATGGTTACCCCGATAACTTTATCATGAAGCATATGAAAGAACGAAAGCGAAAGCCACCTAAGAGCATTGTTCCCAAGAAAGAGCTATTCATATATTTGTCATTTAAGGGCAATACTGCAGCTGATATCTTACCTCGACGTCTGAAAGATGCTGTCGAGAAAACTTATTTCGCAGCCCGCTTAAGAACTGTTTACCACAACAAGCCATTGCTTACAAAACCCTTGAAAGATAGGCTGTCATCGTTGACCCGTTCAATGCTCGTTTATCAGTACTCGTGCTCCTGTGGTGCACGATAAGTGGGTCGCACAACGAGACGTCTATCCCAGAGGATTCGTGAGCACATCCCGGCGTGGTTTTACAAAGGCGAAATGAGGTCCTCAGACAGCTCAATCATGTCGCACCTCCTCGAAAGTGGCCATACTGCATCTGAGAATGACTTGAAAGCCATCTACTCATTACTTGAACGCTTCTCGCAAGGCTTCCGAAAGCAAAGTTTGTCTATTGCCGAGGTTATTTACATCCACCATCTGAAGCTGGAATTAGGTGTACATAAACGTTTCATACGGCCGATACTACTACCGTGGCCGACTGAAATAGTTACTTAATATACAAATTTATTTATTTATTTATTATTAATTCCCTTCGTGACCTTCCCTATGTACTTTAGGTTGCTGAGGCTTGTGCATTAAGTTTTCTTTGGTGCACTTTTCTCGAAGTCTGTAGCCGCATTTAGTCATCGACCTTGACCGTTTAAACACCTTAGAAAGCAACCCAAGCCCGGTTTGACGCTTACCCCACACAATCAGTGTTATGTGAACGTTTGGATCTTAAGAAAGTTTACCGAAAAGAATCCTTAACCCTGAACTGATTTCTGGTCTTGATTCATCCAAAGACGTCCGACTTGAGCCATGACTTCAAGGGTCTGTAACTAGCGATACTCTGAAATTCCAACAAGGGAGTAGAGGACAATCGACTGAAGTCAATTGTTTCGTCAGATCTTTCATGTGGCTTTCCATATTGTAGGTTTTCAACCGCGCCGTCTCCTCCAGTCCGGTTCAGGAACCGCGAACAACGCCCGACACGGAAGACGATGAGCGGGCATGTGCAATACTTGTCCAAGCCACCGGGATGAGCTCCTCAAGAGAGTGGCTGCCTCCACAAAAGACGAGGTCTAACACCCACATTTG